TGGCCTTACTACTAGGCTACTAGGCGCTCCTGGCCTTACTACTAGGAGCAAAGGACGCTACTAGGGGCTCCTGGCCTTGCTACTAGGAGCACTGGGGGCTCCTCGAGCAAAGGTCGCTACTAGGGGCTCCTGCCCTTGGTACCAGGACCAGGAGCAAGGACGCTACTGGAACCACCCGGCCTACTGCTAGAAGCAAAGGTCGCTACTAGGGGCTCTGGCCTCGCTACTAGTCCCGGCCTACTACCACGACCACAGAACGCTACCACAACTCCCAAAAACAAGGACTACAACCTTGCCGTACTGCTAGGAGCATAGGACGCTACTAGGGGCTCCTGACCCTAGGCGCAAAGGACGCTACTAGGGGCAAAGGACGCTACTAGAGGCTCCTGGCCTTACTACTAGGGGGTCCTGGCCTTACTACTAGCAAGGACGCTACTACAGGCTCCTGAAAAGGAAACGGCCTCCTTCGCCTTACTACTGGGAGCAAAGGACGCTACGCTACTAGGGGCTCCTGGCCTCACTACTAGGAGCATGGATGCGGGGCTTCTGGCCTTACTACTAGGAGCAAGCACGCTACTCCAGGGGCTCCTGGCCTTACTACTAGGAGCAACCAGGAGCAGAGACGCTACTAGGGGTTCTGGCCTACTACTGGGAGCAAAGGACGCTACTAGGGGCTCCTGGCCTTACTACTGGGAGCAAGGACGCTACTAGGGGCTCTTGGCCGAAGCTGTGGAGGTGGAGATGTTGTGGGTTGAAATGGATCTTTTTTCGGCTGGTGCATGGAGGTGGCTTCAGCTGTGGCTCTCTGGCGCTCGCCTGATCTCTGACGGGCATCTTCCCTTGAGGAGGCGGGGGGATAGTGTTTGCGTGTCAGGGGCAGAGAGCCGGAGATTCCAGGTTCAAGTCCTGGGCAGCTCACTGTTTGTGCTCCCTTGAGGTGCGCAGGATGCTCTAGTGGTAACCCCGGCTCGCGTGGTTTTTTTGTGGTGGTAGCTGCAGTGGCAACGAATGGCTGACAGCACGTTGACGCAAGTGGCATCGATGATGTGAGGCCTGCATATCCGTGCACCATGTCTTGAGACCCCTTATAGTTAAATTGCTTTCTTCCCTCCAACAGGCCGGAGTCACCACTAGAGCATCCTGCGCACTTCAAGGGAGCACAAACAGTGAGCTGCCTAGGACTTGAACCTGGAATCTCCGGCTCCGGAGGCCGACGCCTTATCCATTAGGCCAACAGCCCTTTCTGATCAACTACCTGTCAAGGGCAGACTCTGCCCCTGACACGCAAACACTATCCCCCCGCCTCCTCAAGGGAAGATGCTACTCAGAGATCAGGCGAGCGCCAGAGAGCCACAGCTGAAGCCACCTCCATGCACCAGCCGAAAAAAGATCCATCTCAACCCACAACATCTCCACCTCCACAGAT